AGTCGCCGTTCCACCAATCCATCGAAGAACCGATCCATATCAATTATGTTCTCCATGAGGACGTACTTCAGTCGTCTCAATGCCTTTACACTATCCGTCCCTCTGATTTGGAACGGGAGATGAGGAAGAAAACATTTTTTTAAAGTCACGCGGTAAAACAATACAATCTCAAATTGGTACCTTCACACTTTTGCTTCTGTGATTCCCCCAAAAACGTACTATTTCTAGTTTCAGACTCCTTCTTTTGATTATAGGAAGGAATGATCATTCTCTTTCACAACATAGAACAATATCTGTAATACCTCGTACAGCTATGGATAATAAAAAAATTCATAGGAAGTCATGGAAATTACTTCCAGTATTAAGCTAGATATCTTGGTGGGTATGCTCACCACCAAATGCTCACCAAAGGAGGCCCTTTCCCTAAATGCAATTATATCCCGTAGCTAAGGCATCTATGACACAATTATTGTTCTAGATAAATGTGATTACTCTTTAATTCCCAGATACAGGTATACGCAATGACCTCCATACTGGTCGATGGTAGCCTTCAATTTAGCATGACACTGTTCTAACGCTCGTAGGAACGAGTAGAGGGGCACGGATTTACCACAATCGAAAATTCCCCGTTTTTGATACCCATTTTCCAGGTCATCCAGGCAGTTTCGGCGGGCTAAAAACTAGCATAAAGCTTTCCGGTATTAAAATCTATTTCTGAACACTCCACGTGATTCTATTGATACCTCATATCCGGAGTCGAAAATGCCATGGATCACCATCAAACTCTTCCTGGTAGTGGAGCTCCATTTCCTTGGAGCCTACTTTCCCCCACCGAAACGAAACGAAACACTCGAGTGGCCGCATCTCAAACCTAAGTACTAGCTCGCAAGAGAGGAAGTGAGCTGGGTAATCCCAAGACAAAGACAAAGAGAATGCGACGTTGCGAGAGCAAACATCTGTAAAAGGAAGGTGTTCTCGTTGAATCAACTACTGAAATGCAAGCAGATGGATGTGGTGGGGTAATAACAACAGTGGTGATAGTTATAGTCCTTCGATGAAAGAAGAATTTAAAATGGAAACTACGATTTTTGAGAAGATTCCTGGACTTCCTCGATCTTAGATCCTTCAAGAACTATGCTAAGGAAAAACCACCGTTACTGGGATTTCGATCGAATCCACTATGCAAAGAGAGAGGTTTTTTAATATTTTATTTATAAATGGTGAGCCTCCCCAATCTGTATTTTTGCGTCCCAATATAATGAGCGATTCATTTGTCAAAGCAAATAAATCACTCATTTTAGAAGGCCTAAGTCCCGTTCTACGTCCACCTGTTTTTCCCCATTCACCACCCTCGTAATGATTGCCATCAAGTGAAAGGGCACTCTTTTCGATCTCAACACCAAGTAAAAGGTGATTCGAACAAGCCATTTCTCACTAAATTGACACATTGTGCCAATTCCCAGCCTTCAATGAAATAACTAAACCCACAACAACAATTCCACTTGCTTATTGTCAACAGATGGGCATCTGCGAGCTCCTTTGCTTTGCTCTGTGAGCTAACTTAAGGCCAGATATATGCGAAACAATCGGAAAAGACAATGTGACAGACCCTGAGAATACTGTAGCCTACATAGATTGTGATGTATGACCTGACGTACGTAATAACGGGGCCAAATTTGAACGGTGATCTGTCTCAAGTCTTACGTGTTAACCGAAGGTCCGTATAAAGAAAATGCGTACAAACAGGAACTAAAAGCTATCTAAAGAATGACAGGGAAAGCCTCGTCAAAAACTTGTGTACGTACTAAAGGGAAATCATCGTTAAGCGGCAACATTAGGTAAAATCACCAATGTTCGGACAGTTAAGCTGGCCAAGCCTCATCATTCGCTCATCCCATCTCAACGGTACAAGCTGGAAGCTTCATTTTTTTAGCCTTGGAACACAGCACTAGGAGGTCTGAGTGCTATAAAGATGTTGTCCTTCCGACCCTTATGACTACAGATATTACCTATAATGTGGATGGCCGAACTTAGATGCGGAAAAAATTAAGTTCGGACACCTTCACCTTAGTTCGGACACCCCGTTTTAAAGTCTCAAAGAGGCTTGAAACACTTCATTTTTATGTGAATGAATGATAACCCACTCCCAAAGTATTGGATCATTCCCCTATTTTCTAGTATAGGATTATCGAGATTGAGGAGTCAGCGACTGACTTTAATTTTAACAATGTTTTAAATTAGATTGAACATTCGAACTTGGTAGGTCAACACGAATAACTCGGATGATGCGGATGTATTTGGGAGAGATGAATCTCCATGAGTTTTTTTTTTTAGCTCCAATGAAATGGAGAGACATAGAAGCTGAAACTTGGTGCATCGGTACCTATTGAGGTGCAGATATCAGGGGGGGAACTACTTTTTGGATTCGTTCCCAGGGGCATATTTTAGGGGTGGAACTTTTCCAAAAAAAATTATTCCGTTCCGGGGAGTCATGGAGACGAAAGGATGTTACCTTACTAGTTAGGTACATGCTGGTATACAATCATAAAGGGAAATCCTGCTTCTGGGAGATATTTTCTGCGGTACAGAGGGGGAGCTATATTTAAAAATATGTTTTGTTACATTGAATCGGGCGGGGAAGGATATAGAAACCTGGAATTTCGCACGTCGTACGTAGTTGTTCGTAGCCCTCCAGTCGTTAATTACTAGAAAAATCCTACCCTTGCAGATAATCCCTTGGGTGCACATTATTCATTCGGGTCATGATGTCAGAAATTATTTTTAAGCAGAACGGACTAGCACAGTTTGTTATATTCAGTAGACAAATATTTCCTTTCATGCTTAGTTCAGAAAATATCCAACTTCAGGGACACATCCACACTTCCAATTTAAAGGTACAACTCCCAAAAATGTATGCAGCAGACGTGTTCATCGTAGGCATTGATGGCACATTATGGCCTTTTCTAATGGCCTTTTCAACACCCTCGGATCGAAAATCCCGTGCATTCCAACCTCCTACCACTTCATGGGAGGCACGCCGCACATTTGGGTGTGCCAATAAATATATGAAGCTGTATTTTTTTCTGATGTGCTCGACGGTGTCCGAAGTTACATGTTCCATTATGAAAGCTCGGACAGAGGTAAAAAATACATGTTCTCTGAAAAGCATGACTCAACTGAGCTTTTGTCGACTCTAAACTTCTTTATCTCAAGAGGTCGTCATCTTTCCGCAGACACATAAATGCATGTCCGAACTTAAGTTTCTCAAACATTTTTTGACCTAAGTTCGGACACACCGAAAGTAAGGCAATAATCTGATCAATGCACTTGCATTCTGCATAACAGGACTTAATGTCTTCCTAGTTTCCTGGGAAGTAAGAATTGAGCACAGAAAACAAAAAAAAGTCCCGGGTGAACCGTTTTAAAAGTAAGATTCTCTCCTTACAGTTCCTTGAATAATTCCTCCTGTTCGCGATATAGCATTAGCCTAAGCCCAATATCCTGGAATCATGCAAAGTCATGATGACCACCGCTTTTCCTTCGCTCGGTAACGTGTTCATCTCATGTTAGGAAGAACCATTTCTGAAGGCAGCCCGCGAATGCTTAGTTTTGTAACAATGTTTGCAGCAGTGTCCGAACTAAGGTGGTTTTACCCTACTAACGAGAGGTGACCGATAGCATTAAATAAAAAAACGTTCTATTACGGCCAGATCATTGGGGAAAAGTACACCATTCAGACGAAAAATTTCAGTGCAGTGTGTGATAACTGTTGTTTATAACGAACCAATGTTGTTTTTATTTTATTTGGGCTGTGTTTTTATGTTGCAAGGTGTAGTATCTATATTGCATCGATGCAAATGCGACGCAGGCGCGTACTGCCGTTTCGAGTAGATTAAATTGCCCATGGAGTCAAACCTCGCGCGCACGTCATCATCCACGGCGCAACCAGCGTATTTGATCTTCATCTTAGGAGTTAAAAGTCTGCATTTGTGCCGACTCATTCAATGTCAACTGCTTAGGAGTGCTATCAACGATTCGGAAATTGTAAAATTGGATTGAATTGCACTATCTCCCCGTGACTTGAATTTGTAAAACGATTGATTTCCGGGGGAGGAGCTGCATTCATATGGCGAAGTTGTAGTTATTGATTTTCTCGGCAAGTGTAAATCTACATACATGTCTGAATGCTAAACCAAGTCAAATAGTTCGACTCAACACTACGCAGTACCAAAATAACTCAGGCATATAATTCAAACTTGTACCCTGTCTGAAACGAGAAAAGAATGAAATAAGAAAAGAGAATCGTTGAAATTTCTGAGAAAAGCAGAAAAACTGATGTATTCACGAGAAGAGCCTAAAGGGAGCTTTCATTTTGCACAGGTTTCAATTTCTAATTGTTTAACGAGCCTCCTTTCCTAAAAGGAAAGAGACAACTCATGGTCGTGTCCTGTCCGTCTGTGTGTCCGTGTGTCTCCATGTCGCGCTTCGATTGTCCGATAATAAGAAAATATTGGCCTGACGAAAGCGAAAATTGACAAACATGTATACTAGTTTATGAACAAGATACAGGTTGAGTTGGCTTTTTGGCGAATTTGCACAAAAACTGGTAAATTTTGCAAATTTTTAAATTTTAATTTGGTCATGGTGGTGAAGGCAAACGTACTTGTGAGCTCTTCAGGATCTGGACCAAAATGCCCATGTGCATACTACTCAAGCTTTTTGCGCGTTGCCATGTCAGCGACCGGAGCTGTCAGTTCCCTACCAGCCTTCGTGGCGGAAGGGTGCAATCATGCACACCCATCTTCCAATCATCGTTTCATGGGCACCGTTAGTCTATGTTTACCAACCATGAATCAGAAATGAGATTTTTGATGGTCGAGGACAGGAAGGAGATGGCATTATGTTGAATTAGATCGAAATGTTCAAAGTTCTGATGCCTGACTCTCGTATTGAAAATCATTGATCTCACTCCAGACGTCTATGCATTCATTCTGACGGACTTACGATGTAGATATACTCCCAGTATCATTTGTTGGCACGTTCTCGGGAGCAGAAATCATTTCGTTGGTTGCACTTGTTCCACTGGAATTCGACTCGTGTGGAGGTTCATCATCTTCGTGCTTGAGTCGGTTCTTGTATTCTAGATTGACATACATAAGGGTGGGTTGATCGTGTGTTTCCTGCTGCAGTTAAAACAGGATTAGTAGTTAAATGATATAATAACGTGTACCTCTGAGAACTCGAATACAAAAAGAACGCTACGTCGAAACCTTTGAATTCCTGTTTGTCTTTCTTTGCAGCATGATGGTATGAACTAAATGGCTATAGGTGGCACTGAGGAATTTTAGAGACATTTGTAGCAAGACTTAAAAAAATATTTGTAAGGGTGCATTAGAATCTAGAATTAATTTATTTTCTGTCATCTGCTTTGATCTTCGATAGGTAAATCTGATGTTCCTTGATGCTCCTCTTACAATTTTTTTTCTTTTTTTACAAATATAGGCAACTTTCATGGAGGAGCACTTTCGGAAATAGCTGCCAGGCATAAAGTTTGAGGAGCTCATTCCAAGGTTAGCGTTTCTACAGAGAAGGTTATTATTAAGTGAAACTGTCCGCTGGGATTACGAAGGTGCCTGAAAGTTCCAAACTCTTCCTTTCATGATCAAATATGAAATCTTATTGGCGACGTTTTACTTGCATTATTTCGGAATCTCCTTTCTAGGAGCATTACCAATGTTATTCAACCTATAGCTGCAGTTATCTGAAGACCTGCGCATTTTTATCCCGATCAATAATATTCAAATATTGGACTTAGGAGCATCAATAGAACGACTCATGAGGCTCGAAGTACGGATTTTTGGGCAATTTATTATCTCTTAGAGAATTATATTGCGGTGGCATATTAAAATACAACGGGTCATGTAATTCACTATTTCAAAAGCTAAAATTTTCAAAAGTAATGAAAGCAGATTGAATGAAGTAAAAATATTGGAAATGTATGGTTTTTTAACAGAACAAAAAAATTGTGAAGAAATAATAAAAAATAGCTTTTGTTCATGACTCACCTTGCTCCAGTTTTTTTGCTAGGTCGAAGGAGTAATGACGATGGAGAGCCTCAATGAATCCTCGAAATGCAGTGTATCCCCTGAGAGGTAGGGTTTCCAGGAGAAACATCAACTTTTCCTTCTTACTTTTCTTGAAATTAATGAAGTATTCATCGTGCTCAATGATCCTCTGAGCCCTTAAATCCCTCAGAACGGATTCTACTGCGATAAACTGCAGGTCTCTTGAGTAACAATTTAGTGTATCTGCGACGGTGTGCATGTCTCTTTCATGTTCATCATCCCTAAAAGACAGGAAAATGTACGTTCATTGTGACAACGAGCGAGACGTTTTAGAAGAAATACTGTAGAAATATACTTGAGAAGGAATCTTTTTGAGAAAAGGATATCGGTCTTCAATTTGGACGCATTCAAAGGCTAAGCCAATGACCGCAGTCCGCAGCTAAAGAAGAATCAATTTACCAGTTTTAATTTTTACCAGTGGTTTTTCATTTTTGCGCAAATAAATTAGCAATGCTCGGACCTACGGCACACGAGAGATTAAGATAAATCAATTATTCTCCGAAATACATGCCTTCGGTGCTAGCATCACCTTTGTACTGTATATCTGGAAGTGATTCATTGGAATTGGCAAGATCAAGTAAATACTACGGAGTATAAAAAAAACTATAACTAGAATCCTGATTAATCGAAATTCCGCTTATCTCGAAGTTCAATGTTTGCTCCCGGCCGAATCCCGTTACACACTGTTAAATATTTCGCTTTTCTGGAATTTCCGAAAATGTCTGAACGACATTTTCACTACCGATTACGATTTTCCCATGGTTATCTCGAAATCGGGGTGTAGAAGGGGAAAAAATTATTGTGGTACCTATCGATGTATTGAATAAGTAAGAGGCAAGAAGCCTCTTCGGTAGAAAATTCTCTTGTTTCTTTTTTATTCCCCTGCTTTCTCCTTCCTCCCTCGCAGATGCCGGTGGACAGGATTAAACCCAAGGATTAAAACCGTAAAGCTTCCACTATAAAAGAATCAACCTCGATCACTTCAAGTAGATCAACAAGAAAACTGGTGATAGAATATGGCAAAGGTCCGGATTCTCCATTCATGTTATTAAATCTAATGAGTTGAGGAAAGTAGACGACAAACCTTGGCGACGGTAGAAGCCGAGATGCTGATGCTGCTTCGCTTGGTGAGGAAGTGGGTATCCATGGAGGAGAGCTGCCCACTGCATCTAAATTCATCATAAATAGTAATTAATGTTTCGAGCAGATGCATTGTTTTCTATCTGAGACTTTCTTCGAGTCTTAAGTTTCCATCCTTCTCCGTGCCGTTTTTGCTTCCTTGCCGCGTAATCGCAATTAAAATGTTCAGTCATTTGGGGACATGAAAGAAGAACTCACCGGAAGCCTCATGAAGAAAGGCGATATCACTTCTCCCCATTTCGTGTAGTATTTGCCGAACAATTTGATACGTTGGCAGGGGATTTTTAATTAAGAGAATGTAAAATGTCTGGTCGATGCTTTCGTAGTAAGTTCTCTTGTTTCTCAGTTCCATTTCTTCTGCGATTGTAATGAGATTCCGTAACGCCAGTTGATCGAGGAAATGATTCATATCAATAGGAGTGTCCCCATTCTTTAGGACGTCCCTCACTCGTAGCAATCGATCACTCGGTTCGATTCGATTCGATTCGATTCGTATCGAATTGTCGAAATCCAGCTCTCTGATTTGAAACGGGAGATGAGGAAGAAGAAAATTTAAAAAGCTACACGGTAAAGCAACACGATTTGAAATTGCCACCTTCACACTTTTGCTACGGCGATTCCCCCAAAAATGTGCTATTTCTGGTTTCGGACTCCTCAATTGATTATAAGGAAGAATGATGATACTTTTTCACTCCATAGAAGAATATCTGTAAGGTAGCATTGGATTTTTAAAAAATTCAGAGGATGTCATGGAAATTACTTCCAGTATTAAGCTAGATGTCTTGGTGGGTGGGTGAACATTTCATCACCCTAGTACAATGGCAAGTGGGTCTTCAAAACTTTAAGATGGACCCTCGTAGGTACAATACACTATATAGTGAGACTCGGACAAAAGGAGGCCACTTTCCATAATGCAATTATAACCCGTAGCCAAGGCATCTATGACACAAACGTATTGTTCTACATAAATGTGATTCTCCCTCTTCTCAGATACAGAGATACTTCTCCCAGATACAGGTACACGTTATGACCTCCATCCTGGTGGATGGTAGCCTTTATTTGAGCATGACACTGTTCAAATGCGCGCAGCAAGATTAGAGGGGCACGGCTTTACCAGTTTCGAAAATTGCCCTGTTTTTACTATTGATAGTAATACCCATTTTCCCAGCTCATCGAGACAGCTTTGGCTGTGTAAAAGCGGCATAAAGCTTTCCGGTGTTAAATTTGATCTATTTCTGAACACGACTTGATTCTACTTCATATCCGGAGTCAAAAATGTCATGTCTCACCATCAAACCCTTCATGGTAGTGGAGTTGCATTTGATTGGAGATTGCTTTCCCCCACCGAAACGCAACGAAGCACTCGAGTGGCCGCATCTCAAACCTAAGTTTGAGATGCGGCCACTCGGATCTTCATTTGCATTTTCTCCTATCATACGGTGGTTTTAGCCGTTTTCGATGTCACGATTAGCCATGTTGATATTGATGTATGATGCAGACTCAACCGCACTTAGCCACCTTCTCGCTGCGATGTTGCAAAGTGCGGTACCTGCAACGCAAATGCTGATGCAGCTTCGATGCAAGTGCATGTGAGCTCATGATGGAATTCATGTCGAAGTGAAACTAGCGCGCAAGAGAGGAAGTGAGTTGGGTAATCCCAAGGCGAAGACGAAGAAACTGCGACGCGACATCAAGGCATTTGGGACTGTTGTGGGATGCGATGAGAAGAAGGCAAGCAGGCGAGTCTGGAGCCGTGGCGAGGAGAACATTCCCGACTTGATTTAACAATGGTTCATAGTGTACGCATCCGGCCTCGGTGATCTTGATTTGATCTTGCTCTTCTTGAAGCGGAAATGTGAGCAAGGTTTCTTGTCCGCTGTACACTTCTCCCGAGATGTTATCCAATTTCGGCTAACGAAGTGATAGCAGACGGCGAGTGTCTTTTGTCATTCGCGCATTCCGGCCAACAAATTTTTGGATATGACCTGAAGGTTCATCTAAACATTAATTTTGTTCGAGGGAGAAACAATTTCCCCAGCATGGGGAAATGAACACAGAGACATTTCTCCCGACGATTCCATGAAAGGAGAGTGAATCGCGTTGCAATATGGATTTTCGCTCCAAGATCCCAGTGCATCTTGAATCGAACCTTTTTTTTGCCTAGCCATTACTTATTTACTGATGAAGCTCATGTTTCTCTGCATAAGACTTACAATCTGGCGTGTCTTTCGTGGACTTGCTAAATCTGTCACTATCCAAAACAAATTATTGCAGTTTCATTTATTAAGAGGTCGCATCGTGTTCTTCGTTATCTCTCCATTGCAGGGATTTTTTAAACTCAAAGATGGGAATATCTAGAATTTCAACTGTGGTGGTCAAGACGCGTACGAAAAATATTTTTGTTCGAGGGACATTGCCGCAGCCTTGCCGAAAAAAATGGATAGGCTTAGGATGGCCAAAGTTCATTGGAAATAATAGGGTGAGAGCCTGGGTAAAATTCAACCTTAATGCACTCAGAGCAGCGCTGGAGACAGTGTGTGAAAGGTAATAAGAAAGAAAGATGACAATCAAAGAAGCATCAATGTTATATGGGATTGCTCGAACCACTCTCTATGCTGCAATTCACACGGAACGGAAATCGGCTTCCTTCCATTCAATGGGAATAGCGATCCGGAGACTTATGACGGTTGGTTGCACAAATGATTCACGAGGATTGCGTTTCGGAATAAAGCTAACAAGATTATAGATCTCTATTATCTGTGTGCCACACGTGTGGCCTTCAAGGAGGCCACACGAGGAAGACTCAGACCAGTCTATAATCAGGAATTTGTAATTTTTGTTGGCGCTACGTGTGCGATAACTAGCGTTTCCAGAATATCACAAATGGAACTGCTGAAGAAGAAGCAGAATTTAGATCACATGCGAAACGGATTCACGTTTCGGCTTTTTCATCATAACCTTGGAGACAGTCCAGCATGCATCGTGAATGATATGGTATTTGAAGGTTTTTCTTACGCAAAGTAACTTGCTATTTTTAAAAATTGAACCAAAATAACAATAGCGGTGAGGAGAATCCCAGGCGCGGAACAAGAAAATAGCTGGGGTTCCTGAGTCTCATTTGAGGCAGAACCAGTCAAAAATTTTCGCTGGTTTATTGTTGGGCCATAGCTAAAAAAGTTGGCTCATCTTCGGCAAATTATTGGCTGGCTAACTCACACTTGTGAATCACTTGTGAGTTGGCCGGCCAATCATTCGCCCAAGATAGTCCAATGTGACTGGGAGGGTTCCGAAAACCGGTGTGAGATGGAGCCAACGTAATTGCTGTAGGGAGTTATTTCTCAGATTCTACTGTAATGTGTCCCCTGCCCTTTGACACATTGCATTATGGTTTCTCACATAGACCTCAGATGGAGACAATTGAATTCCTTGAAACATTTCTCGAAAGATGTAACCCAGCCCTGGAATTAACCAGGAAATTCCTGCCTGGAGGTCTGTGGGAGGATCCTTCTACTTACCACGGTAGGCCACAGGAGTTGTCTTGTCTGGTTTCTTGCGAGAGAACATATACCCTTGCATTCCCATGTAATTCCGTTTCTGGATACCTTAATTTCCGGGCAAGGGTGATGTTTGTTCTACGCTCAGCTATTGGTGATTAGAGTGTACATGCGCAAGGGACTATGGCAAGGTTCCTCTTTCATCTCTCCCGGAGGAGCGATGAAGATTTGGCCCTCTCCTCCTTCCACAGGAGGGGGCCAATCATCATCCATGAAATGATCGACATGCAGATTACAAATAAATTATGCGCAGGCAAGTTCCTCCCCGGGATGGATTCCTGAGAGGAATTACACTCGACCGTCCGGTCATCAGTAACATTTCCGTCACTAATGAGGCGCAGTTTCACATGACCCGAAGAAAAATGAAATACCAGAAAAAATAGGACTGGTTGGGGAATGACGCGATTAATTATGTTTAGTACTGATTTGCGCGTGTCTGCATACAACATACGAAGCTGGCGAGAAAAGAGGAGCTTGCCAGAGACGAGCAAACCAACCTGGAGGAAGTCAAACAAAATAATCCTGACTCCAGTCAGACTGAGGCTAGGGCAATTTTGTTAAAGTGCAGTCCTAGTTGGAACAAGAGCGACTCTCATTCTCTACTACGATTTTTATCAGAATTTTTTCTTTTTACAAGTTTGGATCGAAAAGTAATGTCAATTCTTTTCCGAAGCGTTCCATACGCAACAAAATGCTTTGCAGGGTAGGTGTTGCCATAAAGAGAGAGAACATTATTGAGAAATGAAGGTGTGATTAATACTACATGAAAACAAGTGTCAAGAAAAAAATCATCGGTCGTTGCTTTTTGATCCACCCTCATACTTTCATTCATCCTAGACCATAAATGATTTCATAAAATACTCCAGTGACGCTGGTAAATAATGTACGTTTCCTACCTTCGACATGAAAAAAACGAAATAGTACGAAAGCGCGATACCTAGCCTTCTGTGTCATAGCCGCCAACATATTTATTGCGGATTTGAACAGAATAAACACAAATAATGCGTCTGGGCCCGGGAGAGAAAATCTCTGTTCAGCTCATTTCTTAGCATGAAATAAAGACATGCAGAAATACTGCAGAGGCTCTGATATTTTTGTGATTATGTCATCATCATTGACTTTGGCTTAAGATCACTCATTCAGGAAAGAAATGAATAAAACAGGATAAAAGGCACTTTTCTTGAGATAAAAACTGCTGAAAACCATGAAAATGTAAATAATCGGTAATATACCGATAATATTACCGGGAAGCAGTAATCTTGTAATTTCCGGTAATTCGGTGACGTTACGGTAATGTTACAACAACTCACAACCCTACAAAAGACGAGTGAAACCATTTCCCTCCAGTGCCATCGACTGGCAGACTCAAGGATTCCGGATTGCCTTTAAGAAGGACGGGAACACGTCGAAAACATTCATGATTAGCTATGTGAGCCCTCTTCTCTCTTTGAGATGTAATTGATTCCATGAGAAGTTACTACAGGTAGTACAGGAAATGCAAGAATTTGATTTGGTGGGAATATTTATGTAAACAATACTTCGTACTTGATTTGTTGTTCAACTGAAAACAAAAGGTAAGAACAAGGTGAAACTTAAAGTAAAAAGTGAGTGAGTTATTGGAACCTACAGGAAGTTTCCGAAGCAATCCATCTCGAGGAGGATATGTTCGTCAATGTCCTCTTCATTCGCCTTATCCACTTCTAGAATCTCCAGGAGACCCTCTTCTTTCATCGTCTGCCAAACCGGCTGATGATCTGGTAGGAAGTCAATGATGAAGAGATCCGTTCGGGATCTGGACATGCTCTCCAGAAGCCAACGATCATCCACGTTCACGGTTATGGAGACACTGGATTCACATCCTCGAAAGTCTTTCGGGTGAACAAACTTCAATTGCTTATCCCTGATTTTCTGGTCTGAGAAAGGCCATGAACTAAACCATTCTAGAAATGTCATCAGTTTCTCATCTGGGACCAGCACATGAACCTCCCCATTTGCTGTTCTCAGGTCTCCAATCCCCTTTAACACTGCGTCACGAAAGCAGAAAAAAGCGCCAATGAATGGCATACAGCTTCCCTGTCCCTTGCACGTTTTCTGTAGATGGCTGCCAGGACAGTTATATTTCATGGTGATATACTTGGGTTTGAGGCCATGAATCCAAGAACCTGGACGGGAGGCGGTGGGAAGATTATTGGCATCTAAACGCAAAGGGTTGTGGACCTCGTTGTTAAATATATGCTGCAGGAGTGAGTAGCTCGTGAAGTAGGAAAGAGATGAAATTTCAGATAGCCTAATCACTTTCACCCCCTGACTCTGGAAGAAAGATCCCAATTCCTTCATAGAGATCTCTCGCCCGCGTTTTGAGTGCGAACTGAAGACGATGGTCCATGTTAACTTGGGATCCAAGTTACCAAGCACTTTCTCCCAGTTCTCTTTCTCTTCCTGCGTGGTACTAGTCTGAATTGAATACTCATCGACACATATATGAATGGGTGAATCCATTCCAAACCTCCACCTTGCATCTAGAATTCGATCNTCATCGTCTGCCAAACCGGCTGATGATCTGGTAGGAAGTCAATGATGAAGAGATCCGTTCGGGATCTGGACATGCTCTCCAGAAGCCAACGATCATCCACGTTCACGGTTATGGAGACACTGGATTCGCATCCTCGAAAGTCTTTCGGGTGAACAAACTTCAATTGCTTATCCCTGATTTTCTGGTCTGAGAAAGAGCATGAACTGAACCAGTCTAGAAATGTCATCAGTTTCTCATCTGGGACCAGCACATGAACCTCCCCATTTGCTGTTCTCAGGTCTCCAATCCCCGTCAACACTGCGTCACGAAAGCAGAAAAAAGCGCCAATGAATGGCATACAGCTTCCCTGTCCCATGCACGTTTTCTGTAGATGCATGCCAGGACAGAGATATTTCATGGTGATATACTTGGGTTTGGAGCCATAAATCCAAGAACCTGGACGGGAGGCGGTGGGAAGATTTTTGGCATCTAAACGCAAAGGGGTGTGGACCTCATTCTTATATATGTGATTCAGGAGCGAGGAGCTGGTGAAGCTGGAATGTAATGGAAATTTTGAGAGTCTGGTCACTTTCACCTTTCGATTCTTGAAAAAAGAACTTAATTCCTCTATAGAGATCTCTCGCCCGCGTTTGGAGTGCGATTTCAAGACGATGGTTAACTTTAACTTCGAATCCAAGTTATCCAAGACTCTCTCCCACTTCTTTTTCTCTTCCTCTGTGTTAACACCTTGAATGGAGTAATCGTCGACACATATGTGAATGCTCGAGTATTTCTTCCGCCTTGCCCCGTCGACTAGATCATGGTCGATGATGTCCTTGGGAGACAATTCTTCTGATTTATGAATATGCAGCATGCGATTGTGCCCCTGAATGTGCTGTGTAAATTTCCAACTTAGTGCACTCCCCACATGAAATAGGATACAGCATGTGTCTTGGTCTTCCGGAATGTTTTCAATGATTTGTAACAAACTCATGCTCTTTCCAGAAGAAGGGCGCCCAATGATGACATGGAATTGGGACGTGTTTTTCGTAGGCTTTTTTGTTTGACCCCGTTTGTCATATGAAAACAAATGATCGGTTTGTATGAATGAATCTTCCAGATTTCCACTATCTAAATTCATGTATGGCGTCTCACTTTCCAGCTTCAAATCCATTTTCAAGAGCTCAGTTAATCCTTCTTGGAATTTTTCCTTCGTTGAATCTGGCACAATCTTATTCTTCAATGAATTTGACATATTGTCCATTGGATCAGATAGAGCCACACTCATCTGAAAGTATTTCCCCATTTGCAACTCTTCTTCCTCTATGACGATGATAACATTATCATGGCCGGAGGATATCAAGCGGAGGTAATTCTTCCATTTGCACTCGGAAAAATCAATGATGATCATTATATCTTTTCCGTGGTATCCCAGAATCTGATCGTCCGTCACTACGATAATTTTTGAAGGGTTTCCTTGCTTTGTTAGTAACCTTCCTCGTGAGTCAAGAAATTTAGCCTCAATTCTGAATACACTTGCTAGGATATAAACCAGACGATTTCGTCGATCCATGCTATCCACTATTGCGTATAGTTGCTTCTCTGGAGCAATTTCATTGCACTTCAGGACAGTGATTACGGCCTTGGCGGATCTGATAGCCGCGCAAGTTGATTTGTTCTTGCATGAAGCATGGATAGTGCGACATGAGGAAATGGGAAACAAAGTGGGCAACGATTGGTTTTTTGAGTGATGCAAGTCCATATCCCGGATGGTAGGCTCCTCGCAAACAAAGATGCGACGCGAGTAGTTCCCAAGAGCCAAGAATAACTCTGACACGCAGCGTGTGTTTCTCTTCACGATGTTCAGGACTTTCATCCTGACACCTGAGATATTGATATCTTCGAGATTGATGTCCTTCGTGTATGTGGCATCATTCGGACGGAATGCGAATGTAAGGCTCTTTACGCTCCCCTCTAATTTGGAAATCTCTTTCCAATGCACAGAGAGGCTTTCCTCATCGAGTTTATCTTGAATTCCTAAAGTGAGGGGGACTTCGTCAAGCAGAATATGTTTGTTCTTTCCTTCTTTCTGCAGGAAGGCGAATATTCCCTCGCGGTCTTCTGGAATTCCCTTATCCCTTCCATCCAACACCCGGATGCCATTCAGTTCTGGAACTACATACAAAACATTCCCAATTTCTTGTCGAACCCATGGAAATTTCTCAACTAATGAGGCTGATATTTCACAGCTTTGTTCGCATTATCACATTGTCGCTCATATGCTCATGATAGATGAACCATAACTGTCAAAAGATCGCAATGCATAACAATTAGCAGGCTTCCAAACCATTTCTGAAATGAACGTTATTGTGCCCTGAATGACAATAAAATGCAAACTGATGAAATTTGTAAAACGTATATGTGGATACTTGATAGTTGCAGATTAAATTCATATACATATTTATACCAACTGCACAATTCTGAAGGTCATAATCAAGACTAAATTAGTCAAGAAATCATAGATTGGCGAAAATGAGTAGGCACTTCCTTGTAATATGGACTTTAAAAATTTGGGTACTTATTGGTTTCGTTGGAATGACAATGATCAGCAAGAGCATACCAGGTGAAGGATAATTTTTTAATTTAAAGCAGATACATTAGTATTATTATTATAAGATAATAGGAAGCCTTGGTCAGAACCAACTTAGGCCGATAAAAGGCACAATGGAAAGCTATTCTGTCAGAGAGTTTAGATTGAGAGTTTTTAGCACCTCTCTGTTTAACGTCATAACCGTGCGAATATAATTTTCTCTTAATTACATATTTATAGATACTTAGACACTTAGGGGAGAAATCGAGATCCTGGATTCTCATTTCATTCCTTTCACAATTTCAACGGTTCTTTATTCTGTCTGGAAAATTTGGGGTCAGACTCAATTAGCGAGAAAGTGTTCCAAAGTCCAAAATTCTATAGTATTTTAAAGATTTTCTTAGTAGGTTAATGCAATGCCTCTCTCTTCTTCCTCCTAGAACATCAGAAGTTTTTATTTTATGAAAAGACAAAAGAGTCCCAGGGCAAGCATGTGGTCGATGCCAATTAACTAAGACGGAAAGAGGAAGCGTTTCTGATGTTTCTGGCGCCAGTATCGTGGCACTGACCAAAAGCATAGGCAACTCCGATTGTCATAAGCAAGGACCTCACGATCGCATGATTTATCGAAGACATATTTATGAAATGATCCCATAAACGTCTACTCTCAAATCTGGTTACGAAGTCACTAGCACTGAGATAATTCTCACTTTTCGAGTCATATGGAGAAACGTTAATCAGGAGAAGGTATGGTATAAATAAGCAATACTTCTGATTTCATTATTATGCCTTGTCTTGTATCTTCAGAAGTAATACCAATCCCAATTTATTCCTTTCCTTTATTTTTAAGACTTTACTTCCGCTGTTACCACTTGCATTAGAACTTTACTTCCCTATTTTCTACTTCTCGTGCTTCAAGAAGATCCTGCATCTCCTCGAACTATCACATTGATACTCAAAATCAAAATTGATCTCTTATTATTGCAATCAGCATCGGAGAACAACATGCCTACCAAGTTTCAGCCTCATTCGTTTGACCTTTTTGTTGGTCCAAAAATCTCCTTGGAAAAACCGACCCACCCAAAAGCCCTGAGTGGATGCACTAATGAACTAATGCACCAATTCGCTTGGAGAGAAAATTAATGTTTTTGATTACGTCCTTCCTCAAAAATTGTCCCTCAGGGGTTGCGTCGGAAATTTCACATTTTTAATGAACTCAATCAATAGACACGTTCATGCCAAGTTTCAGCTTTTCTTGTCTGTCCGTATGACTGAAGCATATATATTATTTGCAAACATTTCCCCCCCAAAATATATGCCCCCAGGGGATTTGTCTCCAGTCTGATGTGTTCTGAGCTCAGAATCCCAAATGCACTTAGGTATCTGAAGAGTTTCAGGTTTCTTCCATATCTATAACACGGTTAGAATGAGCGTCAGTCACTCAGTCACACAATCATCGCTGTTACGATCGTCTATATACCTAGTATATTATATAACACTTCTATGTGATTCATATTTTATTGTATTCTGCTTCGCGATAAAAACCTAAAAATTTAGATCCAAATTCTTACGCTGAAAGGGATGAGACTTAATTAAGAAACTGGAAGCCCATGCAATACAGAAATGTCTTCAAAAATTCATTAAGAGGAAATTCCTGTGCGATATAAGCGTGCAATACCTTAAAAAAATGCAAAATATATACATCGCATAATCGCAATGCTCTAGAATTGCGATCGTGCGATATATATATTTTTCATTAGTCTCTTGCCTTTCGATTCATTAAGGAGTGGAAGTTTTTATTCTGAAGAAATCCGTGTTCTCATTTCGTAACCCATTTAAACCAAAAGTAAGCCATTTCGTAACTTGCCCTAACTTAACCTAGCATAACCTATATGTTTCATATCTCTCAAATTTGAATAAATATTGATACTTTCTGATTTTACAAGAGACACTCTTTTCAGATGTGTATGATTCACTGAATTTGGTTTAAGGGCCAAAATCGCATTATGTTCGGCATACTCCTTTAATTTTCCAATCCTCTCTAGAACCCGCTTAAAATAAGCGTTTGTCAGTCAATCAGCCACGATTGACGGACACGATCTAAATATACTGCATCTGATTATAGAGTTAACCCCTGTAGCCTTAAAAACCGATTTCACAAGCCTCGGCTTGTGAATTACCAATGCAAAATAATCATAGGAATTTCATTCTAACTGTCGTGAACTGCTCCAGAGAGTTCTACATTTTCCTGCATTGTTTCTCCGTCATCTCTCACCGATATAACCACATAAATGTCCAATTAGATTCATTTCCGGGCTCTGCCCTGCCAAGAGTAAGACTTCCAGGCCAACCTCGTTTATTTTGGCTTGTAAAATGATATTTTCTGCCCTATTTTTTGAAAAACTATTGAAAATTAACTGCGGCAATCTCTATGGGTGAATTATTCTCTGGATTGCCACATTTTCATGGGAAACTTTTTCGAACAGTAGTGCACAGTCTTGTCTGAATTTTTAACATGCCTGAACGTGAATGATCGAAGGTTTAAAACTACGCGTTTCTTTGCGGGAGATAGCTTCTCTCGCTCTAAGAGAGGAAGAGAATCTTGACTGACCTTGAAATTCATGCTTGAAATAGTCTGTAAGACCTCCCCCTGGAAGATTCACCACCAATACTTCCACATCAGCGTCCTTTGCTAGTCGCTTTGCTCTCTCTTTCACGACAATTGTCTTTCCTGTCCCTGATCCTCCTCCAATGAGGAGGAGCCATGATTCATCATCATCTATGTGCTTCTTCTGCTCTGGAGTCAAAAAAATCAATGTTTTCTGCATTTGCTTTTCTGCCAATTCCGAGTGCTCCAGCTGAGTTCGTGGCAAATCAACCGAGGAAGCTGCACAGATGTAGAGGGAAAAAATTTCTAAGAACTTTTTCATTGCTTCTCCATCCTCCTTGGGACGCGTATCAATTTCCTCCTTGGAATATGCTTGAGTAGGCAGTTTGTCTACGCAATTCCTTTTGAGAAATTTCTTGAAACTATCCACGTTGTGGAGATCATCTTTTGTTAAAATCTTCCAAGAACATGATGTACACTTCAGTGATTCGCGCAGAGTCGTTCTACTGATGAATGGGAAGGAAGGGAATGCAACTAATTTTGCAGGAAAATTAAGAAATGGTCCGCACACTGTTTGGAACGCTTCCTTGTCTTTTTCACATTTTCCAATCACTTCTTTAATGCTATTTTCGCAAACGTTCAAAGAAGGATACGTTTGGAAGAAGATGTTATAGATATCGCTTCCACTGGGGTAAGACAAGAAAATGTCATGGGAACATCCTCTGAAGTAATGAATATCGAATTTCTTTTTTTTTTCAGCTGCCAACTTGGACAGGCCTGACTGTATCAAATCGAAGAATATCTCGCCGAACTTGTAGTCAAAAATGATTAATGACGGAGCCTTGTCACATAGGTTTATCACGGGTTTGAGAACATTTTCTTTGGCTGTGTAATGCTCAGGAAGTGGCACATCTTCCCCATCGGCCTTCTCTTCCTCTTTCTTTGCTTTTGAAAGCAACTTATTTAGTTCATCATCTGGAAGGAGTGGACCAGGAGGGAAAGAGTAGTGACTTTGTTCAGCCTCCGGGTAGAACTGCCCCCGATATTCCTCACTGGCTTGGATAAAAGGCTTCGTCTCCCCACATCCCATATTAACCTGAAGAAAGCAAAATAAAGAGAGGGTAGTAATTGTAAGAAGGCTCGAAGGAATATTCCTAAAATAATATAAAAATTCCAATAATATCTAAGGTGAAGTCGTGTCAAATGCAAGGCAAGGCACCTATACCAACAATCTCAGATTGGCACCCTGTCATATCATAATAATACTGTCTTCCGTATTATAAAAATAGTTTCTTTGCACTTTGAAGTAACATTTAACGGTACTTAAAAATCGAAAATTTTCATGAGTTCCACAGGAGGCATTTATGAACATATACGCATAGATTCTCATTATGTCAGGTCGAGCAGTGACCTCTCTTTCGACATTGCTGGAAAATGCGGTCTTTGAGAGGCCATTCTTTTCATAGATACCAAGTTCACTTGGATTGTCGTAAGTGAAAGGAACTAGCCATTTTTTTCAGTAGCCATTAATACTGTGCATGAATGAAGTTCAGAAGTCATGCTTGAGACATGATCTAACGTTCAATAATACAAATGAAGAAAGAATCGTACTTGAATACTTGACATATCTTAGCATGTATAAACAATCTATTAATAGTTTTCTGAGTAGATAAAGAACATACACGAAAGTTACTACGCGAGATATAACAAAGAAACACACACAATCTTCTGAGTTCAAATGTTTAAAATATGCATTACAAAAGTATTAGAGAATAAATGCAGCAAATTAAATGACATTTCAGAAAAATTCGAAATGAATGTATCTTCTCTTCGAAGGAATTGCAGCCTTCAAAACACATGACATGCAACTAAGTCCCACCAGAAAATTACACTGTTTGAAAGGAAAGTACAGTTCTGTCTACGTTAGTCACGTACCTATTATGCGACGGCGTTTCATTAGGGTGACTATCACTCTCATGTCAATGAATTTATTTCAATATAGATATAACTAATAATAATACCATGACACACATGACTTTTACACATAGTCTCTAGACCTGGCTGAGAATTTTTCCCACCGTGACCCCAACGCATCAATCCCGGCGTATAATAAATCAATATCAAGTTCCTTGTGCTAGGATATAACGACCTGCTGCATTTTGCCGTTGGTTCCAAATTGCCTATCAGCCAGGCGTTTCTTCATGAGTCTGAAGAGATGGAAGTCACGTGCCAGGTCAGGGCTGTGTTGGGTGGTCCGACACCTCCCACATATAGCGCCGTTACAACTCACGGGTGCAGTTGGCAATGTTTGGCCAGGCGTTATCATGCAAGATGATGAGGCATTGACGCAGCAACCCAGACCGTTTTCAACGAATGGCCTCCTGTATTCGGTCCAGCGTATGACAGTAACGCCACAATCCCTAGATAGCTATGGTCATTGGACACGAGCCTTACGGCTGATCGAGTACCCCAGCTCCCGCCAGATGGCAGTGGCAACAGCAGCAGGCCCTCGCATTGCCCGCATGAAGGAAGATGCTCTACTGCTAGTCTTTCTTTAACCATGGGCATCCAGTGTTCTCTCTGGAATATGTTATTCGTAAGTGATTGGCTAGGTTTATACAATGTTTTTTTCACTTGACCCACTCATGCACGAGAGTCCCTAATCAAATGAAGAATTGTCAGACTAACGCAAAAGCACTTCAACTGGTACTTGGCTTATGCACGGATTAGTCAACGTCCTGCTCTTCAGGAGAGATAAATTTTACTACTTTGCAAATACAGGTTGTAGGAAGGTGTTCGTTTTCCATGCGCCAGCTTGGCCTTTCCATTAAATAATCCACTTTTAAGGTTTGACCACTGCTACATATATGCCCCACAACCAATCAGAGCGATCAACCAATAAAAAAAAATACAATGAAACTATTAGTTATTTTGAACTTATTAATATTAATTCACACTAGCGGCCTGGGACCGCTACGCTTGCCGCCTAATGAGAGGAAATTTGAACATGTTTACGTAAAGATATGAAGCGGTTCGGTTGAAACCAGACATGAAAAATATTCAATCAAATCTCGAGAAATTCGAGATTGTTGCCGCCCCACTAATTTTATGAGCACACCTCACAAATAAACCATGAATGGCGTAGCCTATGGCCCAGAATGGCAGAGCTTTGTAGGCGTAGTGCTTTAGGTCGCATCTGGGCGAGCCAGTGGCGTAGAATGGCATATCTTTGTATGCCTCGCGCGTTAGGGTTGACAACCATCATAAGTTTCAACTTCTTTCAATTAAAGTATTAGATTCTGCTTTTAAAATGAGAACTACTTGGCTAAATCGGACTCTTCATACGCACGCAGCTTCGTGACGTATTTAATATATAGGATAATAACCAAGATGAAATAAATACAGATGTGTACCATGACCATAAAATAGCAAAATTGGGAAGAATCCTTACTAATGAACGTCAGTGTCTGTGTGTCCGAGGCCGCCTCTCCTCCTAGACGGTTTGATCTCTGACCCTGAAATGTTAAACGTTGGCTTCCTAAGGGTAGGGCATCAGGACGAGAGAGTTTGGTGGCCCTGCCTCTGATAGGTCGCTGGGCCGCCTTGGGTAACCAGGGTCATTTTTCGTGAAAATAACCTCCTTCATTGTGTGTGAGAGTTAATAAATCCCCGGAGTTTCCCGGTCAAGTTCATTTTTCTGTGATCTTTCCCCTTTGAGATATTAGAGGTCAAAGGTAACATTTCGGAGGCATTTTCCCGCCCAAGCCTTGCACTCCGTGTCAGACCCGAATGATCAGGGCTTCGACTAGTTTAGGCCGATTGATGTGTATTCCTGATGTTTGATGTGTGGGTGTTAGTTTTGCCAGTTTTCTACAATTACATTCCTTTGTTTTGTTGATCTTGTGTCATTGATCTGCCTTGTGAAAAAATGAATTCGAGACATAACATAAAAATGAAATACCCCAGCAAATAACGAAGATCTGTGGTTTGAACATCCCAAAGGAAGGGAAGTCAAATCGCTATCAAGAACGGCACTGTCCACAATGCCTTGATACGCTGAAATAATAGGGTTTTGAAGTTTGCAGACCTCCCAAAAGACAAATAACGTAGTAGGTTTGACCATGGTTTGACCATGTTTGCACAATTCCAACCATCTCGAAACTTGTGATGGGATTTATGGCAGACAGGTGGCGCGGTCTCGTGGCCTAGCGAGGAAGCAGGCAATGTGTGATAGCGCTCTACCTATTGAAACCCGCCGGGAAACCTGTTTTTGAGCGTAAGAGGTCTTGTTACCTAATTTATTGAAATACCCTCTAATGCTGTTAGACTTCAACGGGATTCTACACTCGCGAGGTGAAGCAGATGAATTGTATTGCTGAATCTGCGACGCAGGCACGTAGCTTCCAAGTCACCTTTGTATAGTGCGCATGTAGTTCCACCTCGCGCTCTCGGCCTCATGCATGGTGCACAGTGTCTTTCGAATGTGATTTCTATTGCTATTTTTGGAACGATTCATTTTAGGTCCATGATCTTGAAGTAAAATATGATCATGCAATATATCGTCAAAAATCAGCTCTCAAAATCATGCAAATAATAAGGAAAGAATCACGTAACCAATAAAGGGACTCAAACTTGTTGGAGAATCGATTTTTTCATAGCTAACAGTCCTAATGGCTGCCATGAGTGAGTGAGAAGTTTGCTAATGCTTGAGAGTCTGAGTAGTTTGCTATAGTCTGATTCAGGGTTACGCACTTGTGAAAGTGATCAATGAATTGGGACCTCCTGTGTCATAATATTGGATGAAATAAACTAAAAAATTGAGAATGGAGAACTGGGAATATGGGATACTCTCCCATTCGTGTATGCAAATACACACTCACACGCACGGACGCACACAATTTCGCACGTGAACGCGTCAGCCTTGTTTGATTATTCAATTGCAGAAGGGTTTAATGTGCTCAAGTAACAGCAATTCCCTTAGAGGTTGCTTACGAATTATTTCCCGTTGCTGAGGCAGCAAATATGGGGAGGAGCAGAAAGGGGATTCCTCCCCTGCTGAAAAAACCTCAATGCAAACTCATGAGGTCTCATGAGAACTCATGACTTTCTTATGAAGTTGACCGAATATTTCATGACGAAATCCTCATGAGGTAATTCACGAGGTCTCACTACGTTCTCATGAGGATTGTGTGGTTCCTCATAAGGCTTTCAAACGTCCTGAGAATCGAGGCCTCATGAGGTCTCATGATGGAATGAGTGACATTTGTGTAACCGTGCATGTTTCTTCGCATATGATTACTTCGCCTTTAAGGACTTGCTGGACCTTGCAAGCTAAGTCCCATAATACCCTTCGTGGCTAATGGGCCACAACGAGGCAAGTGGCGCCTCAAATCGAAAACCTCGTGAGACACCTTTTCCAAACGTCATGAGGTCACTCTCATGTCCGAAAACCTCATGGGAATCTCTTGAAGTTTCCTTTTAAGAGTCAGAAACTCCTTTTATAGGATCCAGTCCACTCACTGACCCACAAGTCCCCACGGATATCAACTCCATCCCGTCGACAATTGCTCGGAGTGGTGACTTGCTTGAGGTTTTTCGCAAATTCACACCTGCATCTGCCCTGCACGAAGAGAAATTCAGATTATCAAATAAAATATCCTCAGAAACTTCGTTCGAGAGCGTCAGTGCAGTACATGGTGAGCCTAAAGTTGCGGAAACGAGCTCCATTAATTGTGTAGCAGGAACGGAGAACTAAAAATTAAGGCTTATTTTGCCCTCTTTCCAGATTCATAAAAGGCCATGACTCGTTAAAAGGACATCACAGAACTTGTTTCTCTGTGTTTCCTAAGCATACCAATGATTGGAATTTCTCTGACAATTTTGTCTAAAAATAGGATGTTATTCTGGAAATGTTCTTAGAAGCTTTTGCACATTGATGTATACCACAAACTTTTTCTTGCGAAGAAACCTCATATAATAATTTAATAATTCCGTAGCCGTGATATCAGGTGCTCACGGAGGCCAATCAACAGAGCCAAACCAAAACTCGGTTCAATGAAACTTGTGGATTCGGTCGCCTTAATTTTACGACCGTTTGTTATTTGCGGTCAGAAGTGCTCAGTCCCAATCGTTAGCTCCACAGGCTCAATGTTAAAATGACCTGACTATCCTGTCTAACGCGATCAGAGGCCAACGATTAGTAAACCCTCAATGCTGGCCACTCTTTAATCTTGACAGAACACAGGAAGGAAAGAAGATCACAGGTTCATTTTCTTCCTCTTTTATATTTCTGTGCCTTGCGGCGTCCCTCCTTTCTTCCCTCAGGCTTACCCTTCCCAATCCCCAATTGCCAAATTGACCCCTCGCTTCGGTCATATCTCTGGACTTTCGATAGTGAGAGAACGATCATCAGAGTGTTGACCTGCCGCTAGTTCTTCTGTGTATCTTGCTCCCTTTCTTAAAGGCCATCGAGTGCTATGGAGAAGCTTAAGTGCGAATTGACAGAGAAGGGGATGCATGAGTCAGTAGAAGTGATCACAAAGATGAAAGAGTCCCTCTCGGAACGGGTGTGCTTACGCAAAATGTGCAAAATGCGCACCCGTCAAACGGACACTCAAGAATTTATCACAATGAAATAATAGTCTCAAATATCTCTCGGTGCACATAGTATAATTAAAATGACCAAATCACGAACACCTTTAGAGTACACAGTCAACTGTCAGAACCGGCTAAGTTAAGAAAGTCCCCTTAATGTCCGTATTACACAGGTTTCAATGTAAAGTGTTATTTTACGTTCATTCTGAAAATAGCCATCTGACTGTCATTACGTGTATCTATTTTTGAAATCTGACTCATGAAAAATATATCAATCCTTTGAGGACTATGAACGTACAAGTACGTTCATACTCCAGATAGGTTTAAAAAAAACTAGGTCCTCAAGGGGTTAAAACTAGATTCCCTTATTATGTTCATCGCAAA